TACGGAGATACACATTTGTGGTCATAAGTGGGCGGCGCCACGCCCATTTTTCAAAAATAATAATATTATTTTGTACCAAAATTTTACTTGACATCCTAATTTTCAACTATTTGAATCCAATATTTACTGAAATACACAAGTTTATCTCATTAAGTCTAACTAAACATACTATCGAAAATGTTTGATTAAGGGGTAAAACCACTGCCTGCTTGCCATGTAACGGTAGCTTTCGGAAAGGTGAAAAAAGCAGCGGGTATTTATTGTTCGGCTTCACCCGAACTTAAACTGATTTTACTGGTTTTTTTTTACTTTTCCGCGATTTTTTAACTCATTTCTACTCAACTCATCAACATAAGGTAAACTCCATGAGACGATTCCGATTTTCTTTTATACGCGTTTTTCGGCAGGAAAAACTACGTCCAAACTCCTATTTCTTTAATTTTTGAAAATTTCCATTTATGCCATATTTCGTCACTTTCCAGCTTTTTCACAAGAAATAGACGCACTAAAAAAAATTGTAAATGAACTTCAAATCAGCATCAAAAAATCTATCTACACGGCGAGTCCAAATTTTGCTAAGCCGTGTTATTTTTATTTTATTAGAGGGACTTACCATGTCAAACGGATCGAGACAGGGATAAAAAATTCAATTAATTAAAAAAATTTTAAAGACAAATTTTTTTAATAATTTTGTGTTAATTACTACTCTTTTTTTTTGTTTCTATTAACTTACACCCATAAACAACCCACAAAGCGATTGATCTCCGTCGCCCACCACTTCAAATCGTTTTCAACTTGTGTCATTTCAACAATTCCACAAGCAGGACATTTCAGCCTCACCGGATCTTGCGGCAGATTTAGATAAGCGCCAATCAGTGGCGTGGCGAAATTATTATAAATTTGTTGCTCCTTAAGTTCCTTTTCCGACAGCTGCTTAAGTGCATTCTTATCCCCAGCACCTGCTGTGTTTTTACTATCTTCTATTGCAGGTGTTGTTGGCGGTGAGGTGGATTCGGTCATCATTTTGCGATCGTTGTGTTAACTCGAAATAAAATGTGTTTTTTTTACTTTCACAGTATTTGAATATATTAGGTAAAATTTACGGCACGAAAACAAAAATAAAATTTAATAAATAGTTCCCGAGCGCTATGATTTCACATCCGACACAAGAGCAAACGTACTGAAGTCAATCGACGCGATGCGTTGAACAATGATCGTGGCGCAGTGAGCGCGAGCGAAAGCTGAATAGATTGCGCGCGTTGTACTGAGTGGGAGAGATGGCGTGCAGATGAAAAGCGAAAGTGATCTGCCACCCACACCGATACTCTGAGAGCGCTAAGAGTTTGAAGATCAAGCATGATGTGGACGTTGCGGTCGACAACAGGTCGTCGAAAACAAACAAATATTTGAAATGTTTTCGTAATACTTACATATGTATTTACAAACTAACGCGAGCAATGAAAAATGCGAATTTTGTTAACAACCAGATTTATTAATAAGGTATTTGTGAAAGCGCGCGTTGTAAACAAATTTTATTTAATAGTAGCACTGTTTAAATAGTTATTTTATTGTTATTGCTTTTGTGGTTTTATTCGCTTTTAATTAGTCGATAAATTAAATTTCGTTACATTTAAAACTACTTATAATTTCATTACGTCTATTATACCGAGCGACAAAAACCAAAAATTTTTAAAACACACAAAAAATCGATGTATTCACAAAACTAGGAGCCAAATATAGTATAACTACGTTTTTAATTTTTCTCTCTGACGTCAGGATTTTTTTTAAAGGACTTTGAAATTTCTAGGATATGATTGCATAAAAAATTATTTAAAAAATTTGGTACATTGCAGAGTATATATAAAAATATATGTCAAGGACTAATATGCAAACTACCAGATCTTCGAATTTCGCCCTTCTAACTTTATTAGTTTTAGATAAAAGAAATTTTGCACTTCTCTATAAGATATTAATAGTTGCAATATACATAAATGAAGATACTGGAATCATTACACTTTAGAGCACTCGGCTCGGTATTGGACCAAACCAATTTTTTGTAAGAGATTGAGTCATAGGTAAAAAGTAATTTCTCCGTTTTTCTAAGTTAGCCTCCGAAATCGAGATATGGGCCTTCGAAGTTCGAAATGGGACCTTTGGTAAAAATTATTTTTTATTATTATATTTAAATAACTAAAAAACTAAAAATATAGACGTAGTCCGCCTTTCTTCTCTTATTTAAATGGTTTATAACTTTTTTTTGCAAACTTATATTACAGGTGCTATAAGGGGTCTTCGAAAAATTAACAACCTTATATTTCAAACAATTTTGAACTGATTTAAAAAATAATAATATCGTTGTAAACATGATTAAACTCCCTTTCTTCTGATATGCATATTTGCATATTTCGTATGTAAAAATTTGAGAAAACGATTTAAAAGGAAAAAAATACCTTTTTTTATAAAACAAATACTTTAAACAAAAAAATTACTGACCGCTTTTTAGAAAAACTTATATCGTTGTAAACGCAATCAAACCTTCGTTCTTCTGATATGCGTATTTGTATACTTCGTATATAAAAATTTTATAAAAAACACTTGAAAACAAAAAATACCTTTTTTTTATAAAAAACTATTTTATACAAAAAAAAATTAAAAACCGATTTTTTAAAAAGTGGTATCGATGTAAAGGCTAGTAGAAAACTTATACTTTCTTAAACCCGAAAATTTCTATTTTTATACACGAAAAAAATTAATTAAAAACATTTTTTCCCTCTGTATAAACTCTTGCCTAAGTGAAAGTAGCGAATTAAAGTATTTAAACCGTAGGTACATCATACGGTCAGTTTGTTCTTTTAGACCGCATACATAGTTCCATAATAATGATTCCAGTATCTTCATTTATGTATATTGTAACTATCAATATATTATAAAGAGAAGTGTAAATTTTTTATCTAAAACTAATAAAGTTAGAAGGATTTGGGGATGTGGTAGCTAGCATATTATTATTGGAAACTTCCAAAGATATCCAAGGATAAAATTTTAAAAGTACATTTGCAACACTTATTCGTCCTGATGCACCAAAAAATTTAATTTTTTTAATTCTACAGAATTTTTCCTTTTAATTGATACCCATATTTTTATTCTACAATGCACCGAATCTTTCGAATAATATTTTTATTCAATTATATTCTAGAAATTTCAAAGTCCTTTTAAAAAAATGCCAAACGTCAGAGAGAAAAACTAGAAACGCAGTTTTACTATATTTGGCCCCAAGTTTTGTGAATATATTAATTTTTTCGTGTGTAAAATTGACTGCCGCACGGTGTTATATTTTATTAAATTTTAGTGTTTCACCACACCTATTTAGGCCGCTGTTGGATGCCCAATTTGGCACCACATTTGCTGCAGTAGATGCCTTTCGTCGTCCATTCACGATTGCAGCCACACCAAGTGCAAATACAGCAAAGCCAGAAAATTGGGAAGAAGCTGAAAAATGGGGGATTGGAAATGTTAATTGTTTTCATAAACTTATTTTAAAATATTTACTAGAACTTAAATATCAATTAAAAAACTTCTATCTTAAGTTTTTTAAATCTATATAAGGTTTTTTAGGTCAATTTTAGGGTTTTGACTTATTTTTTAAAAACTTCAATATTCGAATATTTTTTTCATTGGTCTTTAAATGAGGATAAGAAAATTTTAATAACAAAAAAAAGTTCTAAAGATGAAAACGTTATTAATATTAATTTATTGAACACATTACATCTCTAAAAGTACAAAAAGTATTTCTTAAACCTTTTCATGAATAATGCCACAGAAAACTAAAATACAAAAATTTTTTGTACATACATCAAAATTAATTTAAGAAATAGTTAGAACAAAGTTTTTATGAGCTTTATGATATTTCAATTTGTTTTTTATATGATAAAATTTTATAAAAAAAATTTAAACTTTTCAGCAGAAAAAAAATTTACTTGTATTAATATTAGACCCAAATATTTAAACTCAGTTATAACAAAAAACATTCAAATGCTTAAGACATATTTACATACGAATTAGAATATGTGGGTCTGAAAAGAGCGGGACAATTTATTTTTTTGGGTTTAGAACTAACTTCGGCACGTTTCACAACTAGGGGACGTTCAAGCTATGTTAACTGATGATACCATAAATTAAACAACTGGTAGAAATGTTCTGATTATTGGGACTCGCGTTAATATTTTAAAATGTATGAAATTATAATAATACACCTCGTTCTGACCACCTGTGAATTCTTAATTGTGTTTTTGTTCACTACTGACAGTTCTTACGATTACAAACTTCGTATAGAGAAAACAATTCGTCTATTCTCCTTAAACCCAAGATTTCCTCACTGAAGTACTCACCACGACAACGTCGATAGACAACAGGTTGCATCCTTCAGACCTGCGGCACGCATCACAGCCGCATCACCATATTGCAGACACAGCGGACATTTGGTGTGATAGGTACGCGGCCCCACCGAATAAAATCGTATGCGTTTTCGCGCATCCTTCCCGGGTGGTGTAGCGTCGAGCGCCTGCAGTTGTGTCACATTTATTACACTATTGGCATCATCGATGTACGGCACAGTTGATGTTTGACCTTCCAGCACTATATTGGCCACAATATGCCGCTTGCGCTCCTCGGGCTTTAGTGCGGGTAGCAGCTTAACTTTCACCAGCTGTGGTGTTTCCGCCACGTTCGGTTCCATATCGACTTTAAAAAAATTTAGCTATATGTGGAAGTATTGTAAGTATTGTTGCGCTTTTGAGCGGTGGCAGTGAACTGCTGGCCACTGACTGATGAAGCTGCTGGTGGGTGGCAGTCATTCATTACTGGCTGATGGCATATATGTATGTAAGTGATCACTGATCAGCACTGATCAACGTGAGAGTAGAAGAGTAGTCATAATTTCAGCAATTATTGACGCTATACTCAATGCAGTATAAATTTTCCATTCTATGCCAAACTCTCTTCCAATTACTAGCGCGAATTTTTCGTCTCTTCTCGCTCAATGATCTTGCGCATCGATAGTGTGCTCGTAGTCGCTCCACTTGGATTAAAATTCATCATTTATCTCGCCACGCTTCGTAGTGTGATGTCATTGGCACTCAATGTGCGCATTTCTTTGGTTTTCACTATTCGTTGTTTTTTCATTTTTCTTTCCCTACTTTGGGCCATTGGGCGACAAAACGCGTGCGGAAAGTCACGAATATATACAAACATGCTTATGAATGGATATACATATCTTTGTACATTAGGGTGGGCGAATTTTTTTTTTTACTAAATCTTATGGTAATTTCTGATTCTTCAGATAATTCGAAGAGAAAGTTTAAAAGAAACCATGATTCGGAAATGAAAAAAAAATACCTTTTCACGATATTGATTTTTTTTTTTACCTTTTCCGCCTTAATCAATTAAAAATTCTATAAAATATAAAACAGCGATTATTTATTCATTAGTTTTATAAAACTATGAAAATTTTGTAAAACTGGCATAACGAAAAAAAAAGTTGAGAAAAATTAATTTTTCTTATAACAAGCAATTTTAAAACAAAAATCAAAACCGACTCAAATATTTTTTTTTTCAAGTCTCCACTTCAGTAACAAATGTGGAATAGGTTAGTATTCGATTCGAAAACTATTTTCCCTTCGTTATGAATTCGAAATCCATCCCATTATCGAATTGAAATTTTAATGAGAGAGAGTGGTGGTCTTGTATTTCCCTTCGGGAATGAGCAGAATTTCACTTTATCTCTTGTTACTATGGTTTAAATTTTTTCCGAACTCATCTTGAGTGTATTTCCAATATTCTACACTGAAAATAAAATCTGTGTAGATATAACGAAAACTTGCGTACATTTTACGAAAGTTTTCGTCATTTTGAGCCACGAAAGTTTTCGTTGATTGTACAAAACCGTTTTCGTACATACTACGAAAATATGAGACATCAGATCTTAGTACATTTTACGAACGTATTCGTACTATTTACGAACGAATTTCGTACTACTTACTAAAGAATTTCTTACTATTTCCTTATTTTTTTACGAAATTTTTGTAAAATGCACAAAATAGTTCGTATATTTAACGAAATTATTTTCCTAAAATCTGCGGTTTTTTCGTAGAACTTTTAACAACACTTTTATTTTGTTTTCATTCTTAATTTTAAGCGTTTTTCTTAAACAAAATGTTTTGCAATGTTTTTATGTGGAGGTACTTGGCAGATTCGCAGCTTCTTCGATGTTTGTTTCCTTTCTCGACTATAAATTAAAGGAACATTATAAGGCGTCTGAAAGGCAAGTTTCAGTGAAAAATCATACAAAATTTCATTAATTAGTGCGTCTGTTCCTGGCTTGGGCTTGCCGTTTATAGCTAACTGATGAAATTACCTATTTATGAAGTCCCGCATTGCAGAGCAAGGCTCAGCGTGGGCGATGTTAAGAACATTGTATGCTTAAAAGCATTTATCCACAGCTTTAACATTTAATTTTATATTGTATTTTTATCCACCAAAAGCTTCTTAAAACTATTAAAATTATATTATACGTCTCACAGTAGCTAACCAGTAGTTTCGCAATGACACTGACAATGATGAAATATTAAACTGACGGTAATTTAGTATATTGTACGAAAATATTCGTCTGTTGTACGAATTTAAAAAAAATGTTTCTGCATTTGTTCTGTGCACGAAAGTATTAAGTAAATTGTAGGAATACAGAATGGTAGACTTCGTAAATTTTAAAACCATACGTAAATATTACGAATGCCTTCGTACAATATACAAAATTATTCGTACAGAGATTTGTTCAGTAATTTACGAATGTGTTTCGTAAAATAAACGTAAGAATTCGTAAATTGTACTGAAAAAAGGATTTACGAAAGTCCTTTCGTTATATTTACGAATCTTGCTTCGTTGTGAAAAATGTTTTCGTATTATGAACGCAAGTTTCATACATTGTGCAAAAACCAAGACTACGAAAGTTTTTCGTAGCACTTTTACGAAATTTTATTTTCAGTGTATGAACGTTGGGAAACTAAGGTTGGTTATGAGTTCGTTCTCAATTTGATATGCACATTGGATATCGAAGATAATTTTCTAACGTTTATCATAATGTTTATTCGGATGCGATTTTTGCGAACAATTTGACCCACCCTAATTTCCATATATGTTTATTCGTGCATGTAAGGAATTACACAAATTTAGCTACACGCTCCATCTGTTACATAACAATTCTTGAATGGGTATAAACAAACCAATTGTTTGCATTTGTTTATTTTGCATTTTTGAATTATGTTTGGACATTCACATATTATTTATTTTACAGGCTTAGATCTCTTAGAAACTTATGCCTTCAGATAGCCTGCCCAACATAATCACCACCAATAAAGTGTAGGAGCGGACTGTAGCCTCGACCGTTCCAACCGCCAAAGCAAATACCAGCGACCTGGCTGCTCGGAATCTTGTACTCTGACCGTCCCAACAAAGCAGCTTCAAGGTATGCCATAATTTTCAGAATACAAAGCTATCATTCATGGAGCAGAGATGCCTACGAAAATCTTGCTCGCAAGCAGGAGTTGCACAGCGGTAAAAAGTAAATAATGCACAAATCGAAGATGCCACAATCGTTTACGGGCATCATAAGTGAATCGGTTAGTTACCAAAGGGAATAAGTCAGCATATATGGCAAATATAATGCAGTTCAACATAGCTGCTTTAAATTCCTTTTAGATTTTTAGTAGGATAAAATAGTTATATGATTAAGTACATTACGAGTTTCACTTAATTTATATATAAGTAAGAGAGCCATTGTACGGAGCGCGCAATACTGCCTTGTGTAGTGGCAGGTGAAGCAAGCAGCGTTCCTGTGGAGTAGAGGATTTCTGTTGCGTAAGTTTCTGGTGTTAAAACACCCCCCGTGGGTCCGCCACTGGATATTGTATAAGCAAATGCTACGTACTCGTACTTCAAATTCGAATTCTTAAAGAAACATTTTTAAATACATATATACATATGTATGCGTGTTTAATGAAATTAATTAAAATTCAATACAAGCCCACGACTGAGCCAATTCATCTCGTCATTCTGAATATTTTGATATATACATTTGCATACATTTTATACGGTTGATAACGGGCTCGCTTATCTGCATAATTCGGCTTTATTTGCATTAAATCATGCATTATCCTCTTTCAAATGTGAATAAGCGGCTGAACAAATACCTACAAATTTCGAGCATTCGTTCGAGCGTCGAGATATAATTTTGTGTACATATTTTATACAAGCTATGGAGGTCTCCACTATAAGAATGGTATACCTATTTGAAAATAAGAGAGATCTACCTTTAAGCTAAGTAATACTTGTTTTAGCCCCTAATCGATGGGACCATTTTCCAAAGTTAGCCCATCATTATTTACTCAAAGTTGTGTTCGTAACATGGTATGACCTTTGTAGGAGCTGCATCCGGTCGTAACCGCTTACGTTTCACGCCTAATTTGCTTGGATTTAGTTTTTCTCGTTATTTATTTTATGTGCCTTGAAAATACTTTCCACTATAAGAAAATATTGAAACTGCATTTCATTTGGGCTAACGAAAACGACAACTGTGACAAAATATCAACTAATAGATTCAAACTAATGGTCAAAGAGGCATATTTAAATTTTTTTGTTTTGTCTATATGCTATATACTGTATGACGAAAAATTAATTAAAATCGATAAATGTATATAATATAAACCAATGTGCAATAGTAACCGATTATTTGCCGATAAGCACTCGCGTAAACAATTCTTTTCAATCGAAAGTCTGCTAGGAATAGAAAAAAACGTTGTATAAATTTTCACCATTGACGACCATGGGAACATATAGGTCCCACCTTTTTCCACACCTTAGCAGGTAAAAAAAAAAAAGTTTTTTTGGCGAAACTTTTGCTTAGAATATGGGTTCGCTGAACTCGAATCAAGTGTCATATCTTTGAATTTCCCAACGAATCAGTAACGGTCGCCAAAGGGCTAAGAGCAAAAATTACTTCAAAATTAAAATTGAAACATTATGAAGTTATAAATAAATCATAGATTAAACTTGAAACGAAAATGAAATTATATTTTTATAAGTTTAAGTTTATATCAAAGTGGATACATTTTAAAACAAAATAGTAGCTCTTTAGATTAAAAATGTAAAACTAAATTTTAAATTTGAAAGAAAATGCTTCTTAAAGTTGAAAACCTAGCGAGAAAAATATTTTTTGGTATAAATTTTACACGTTTCACGTTGATTTAATTTTTTGCTTTAAAGACATACGAAGTTTATAAAAATAAATGTAATAAATAATTTTCCTTTCCACTATTTCAAGCATTCGTTGTCGTCTTGGATTTCAATTGCTCCCGCGCCTGCTGTTTGGCCAATATTTTATTATCGAGTGTTTCCTTCTCAACTTTACGAAAACGTTGCCACCTATTTTCGAATACCACATCAGATCGTTGCATTTTGAACAACTGCTTCTTGTACCAACTCAACGTTATATATCGGCCAATGTAACAGCCGCATTCGCTGCAATAGTGATTGACGTCATGCCGACCGCTCCAGCGTATGGGATTGCTGCGGATCAGAGAAATTTAAATGAAAACAAAATAAATTTTTTTATGAATCAACATACATACATACATACTTATGTATAATTTTGGTGTAATAATTGGAGCGCAGTTGTGAAAACAATGAAAATTATTATAGTCGCGTGGACATAACGAATACTTAAGGAAAATTATGAACGATATTTTACCAAGTTATGA